TTTCTTTACTTGAGGAAGGGCATCGCTTTGACCCTTTTGTGGGCGAGCACACTTTGGGCGGAGATAGGGGAAGGCCCGGCCTTCTCGAACCGCTCTCAGAGACGGCAGCTGTGAGAGCTGGGACCGGGCCGCAGATTCATTTCACATCCAGCCTCCGCCGATAACACTTTTGGCTTGGCTAAAACTGCAGGTAAATCTTACAAAGCCAGGGGAGCCCGAGGGATAGATTACTCACCAAGTAAATCTCGGATGGCTCTGTTGGGTTTACTCATAGAAGGCAAATGTAATGTTTCTTGTTTTTTTCCCGTTTGATAGCTGAGCGCGCTCGAGTGGGTCTTGCTCCGTTGCCTGGAATGAAAGGAACCGATTACATTAATGCTTCCTATATCATGGTGAGAGTCAACATTTAATTATAAATGAAGCCAATTAAGCTGAAAGGTGCTAAAGAGCAGATACCACCTATACGACGGATTCATTTCTCACTGGGTAATATGAAAAAGCACAGCGCTTTCCTGGTTGTGAAACCAACAAGGCACCTGCTGGTGGGGGCAGGAATGCTGAAACCAGTGCTCTTTCAGGAGCTAATTTCATTGTTAAGTGTGCCCATCTCGTCTCTGAATAAATGTTGAAATTCCTATAAAAACAGCAGGGGAACTACTAGTGAAGTGCACAAGGGACCGTCGAAAACAGTAGTCAAATATGCGGACTGCCTCTTCTTGCCACGATGCTACGTCTTAATCCACTGATTTCCCTCCTCCCCACTTGCAGGGCTATTACAGGAGCAATGAATTCATTATAACTCAGCACCCTCTGCCACATACCACGAAGGACTTCTGGCGGATGATCTGGGATCACAACGCGCAGATCATCGTCATGCTGCCCGACAACCAGAGCTTGGTAAGGAAAGCACATCTGCTCCACACTAACGAGCCTGGGGGGCCACAGGGCAGGGGCGGGACGTCTGTCCAGATGCCTCTCAGTTCTACGTGGCAGTGCAGTAGGCTTTGGAAAAGGTCCATTTATTCGCCTTGATAATTTGGAATGTAGAAAGACCTGTCACCAGGGGAAGTCCATAGTCATTAGCTCCTGGGAACCTTGCCCAAGGACACAGATCAATAGGATGGGACTTTACACAATTCCTGGAAAATGGAATGAATGCAAAGATCATAGAGTCTTTTCCACCAACTTTGTGAAGCCCCCCTTCGTAAGTGGAGCCAAGATTTGAACCGCAGCCATCTGGTTCCAGAGCTCATGCTTTTAACCACTTCTCTATGGAGACATTCCACTACATTGTCAACATGTTTTACAGGCCCCCAAAAAACCCTTCTATCTTCATTCCCTGGGTCCGTCCTGTCCAGGGAACAAGTGTGAGCGAAGGCTATTTTTGCGCTGATGCTTAATGTGACTACGCTCGTAGAGTTCCTTCTGCCCTTCCCTATTTGTGTCCCTGGACCATCTAGGAAGGGTGAGCAAATTTATAAAATAGCCATACGTGTTTGTGTTCCGTATGCATATGGTCTAAAGTGGCAGAGTGAACTGTCCATATAGTAAAATTCTGAAGATGCAACTAAACCCACGAGGTCAAAACACAAAGCAAAACCCAATGAGGATCTGCCCGTCTGAGTGGGAGATTGAGATTGAACCCCTAGTCTGGATGACATGCATTTGACTCTGTGCCCAGTCATGGGAACTTCTTCACTGTGTTGCGTTTTGCTCCAGCATCCGAATACCAAGAGTGCTTCTGGGTGATAGGATGCCAGTAACGTTGAGCATCTTAAACTCAAAGCTGGAGTGTACATTTTCAAATTAGCTGGCACCAGAGGTCTAGTCTACTTGGCATGTGGAAACTGGAGGCGTTTAGGATTGTTGAACGAATCGGTATTTATCTTCATCTGAGCTCATTTGCATGAGATGCTAGGGAGAGACTGGACCGAAACAGAGATGTGGGCGAGGCCAGGATCAGCCCTGCAGACATGTCGGTCATTGGTTTCCTCGTTGTACAGTTTTTCCAATGGCTGGAGTTCTTTTCACTTGTTTTACTCTCACTTATTGCCACTGCCCATCGCAGTCATTGGCTTGTAACTTATCTTTGACCTGTAGATAGAGTTGTAAGGCAGATGCCCAGGTGGTGGCTGCTGAAGAAACACTCTGTTCAGAAGTTTTGCTCTTACTTTCAACACCACGACTAAGGTCACGGAGGTAGCCTTCAAGCGAATTCGATGATTAGCTTTGCATGTTAACTATGGTTCTTTGAGATACCTGTCATTTGCAATTTCTCATTTTTCAGATAGAGAAATTAAGGTTCAGATAAATTTATCCAGGATCATAGCTGATCCTAAGTCCTGTCTTCCTTTCAACCTTGTCCTTTGCTTGCAGGGGAAGGGAAGCCAGAGATGTTTATGCATGTTGGTTAAATTTAAAGGCCCTGTCCATCTTGCTTTATATCTGTGATGTCTGTTGAAAGGATGCTGCTTCCATGGCTTCGGCCAGCATGTATTAAAGCCCACGACAGTTACAGACTCTTCTTCTGTATACACTAAGCTCAATTGGTAATCTGTCTCCCCTTATGCTGAGCTTTAAAAATAAAACTCTACTTGGCAATAAACGATATTGAAATTTGAAAGGGTGGTAAGTCTTATTGGACTGCTGGCTCTTTCTCATGCAACAATGTAA